TGCATCAGATGAGCCTTGAAAACATTGACCTAAGAGTGCTTGCATGTCCTTCAGGTGCCCCCAAGGATTCAACAACTGCCATAAAGAATGATTTATTCTCTCAATGACATCCCCAAAGGACTATAGCAAGCCAGAAGCCACACCCCTCTGTAAAGAAGTCCAGCATTCATTCCAGTTCCGAGCTGTCGGTCAGGCTGTGAGCACAGTTGGCAGGAGTTTCTGAACCCAAGAGGTGATGGGAGTCCCTTGGTCAACATGGGATGATGATATTGGAAAGCACTTCTTCAGTCTGATTCTCCAAGGCAACTCCACACTAATACGTCAGAGACTAATAAACTTAACTTCATGCCCCATTCCTGCTTAATGCAAGCAAGTGGAATTAAAATCAACTCCACGATATAAGTGACCACATCTTTTCAGGACATTAAAGGGGAAACATTTGGGGAGAACATTATCTGCAGAATTTGTTGGACTGAATTCAGGCAGAATTTTCTGTTGTTGTTCATTTTAAACTACACAAAAGTTGCTAGTCCTACTAAGGTTCAACTAGGAAATGAAATTAAAACATAGCCTGGAAAGTAAAAGTAATTCTAACAGATTTTTAAATGCATTAAAAGCTCTGTGATGATGGAGGAGGAACAGACAGATAAGAAACGGACAAAAAAATAACAGAAATAGATCCAAATGCATTAGCAGTCTGGCTCATGTTAGAAGTAACATTTCACATTAGTGGAATATGGATTATTCACTGAGTGTCATTTGGGATATCTGGGTTTTTTTCTATTTTTTCCTTATACCAAAATAAGCCCCAGATTGAACAAAGATTTAAATCCAGAAGGAAGTGATGCAATATGAGGAGAAATCGTGGGGAAATTTTGTTACAATTTTCAACTTGGAGAAGGCCTTTCTAAACATGAAACAAAGTATGAAAAACATACAGAATAGACTGATAAATGTAAAAGTCAAAAGATTTAAATCTCTTTATGACTATGAGTTGACTTCAGTTGAAGGGAATGTTTTTCATTTGTAGGAGGCAGTGGAAGGACTGAGTGGTAAGACTACTAGCCAAAAGGTTGGTGGTTCAAATCCACCTAGATGGGCCTTAGATGACAGGGCTAGCAAACTGGTGCCAAAAGGTGTTGAGAACCCTATGGAACAGTATCTCAGAATCCTTGTGGAATGCAATTCCCCTCTGTTCACATGAGCTCACCATGAGTCAAAATAGGCTTGACAACAGCTAACAACGGCATTAAGATACACATTTGTTGTGAAGTGTCATTGAGTAAGTTCTGACCCATAGTGACCCTGTATAGGGGTTCAGAGGAGCAGCTGGTTAGCTTGAACCACTGAACTTGCGGTTCAAACCAGCTCTGCAGTCCAGCACATTAACTCACAGCACCACACCAGGACTCCCTTACACACACACACACACACTAGGGTGTGGTGTCTCCATACAATAATTTGTTGTTATTGTTGTTAAGTGCTGATGAGTCAGTTCTGATTCATAGCAACTTTGTATAGAGGGTTTCCGAGAAGCGTCAAACCAACCTTGAGGTCCAGTGCATTATTCTGCAGCACCACACCAGGATTCTACCTTAATCCATAGCCCCACCTTAATCCTGCCTCATTAACAACTCACTTCAAGATGGGTTCACATGGCATAGCGTGAGGAGCATAGGACTTCAGGCCCATGGGCTGAGAAAGGCAGTATGCCTGTGGGCAGGAGGCTGGCCTGCAAATGTACCCTTTGGACATTTAAATGAGTATATATTTTCTATGTGGCATGTGTACATAAAAATAAAATGTTTAAGCATTGTGATTTGTTGAATATAAAACTGAAGATCTGCACCATTCGCAGTTACAAGCATTGTTGTTGTTGTTACATGCCGTCAAGTCAGTTCTGAATAGGGTTTCCAAGGAGCAGCTGGTGAGCTTGAACCACCGACCTTGCAGTTCAAATGACTTTGCAGTCTGACGCATTAGCCCACAGTACCACACCAGGCATCGAGGCTCAGATTGCCAATATGGAACAAAAGGCTAGAAAGTACACAATAAATGATTAGCAGCCCTGCAGGCCACCCTAGCTTTTCTAACCACTTTTCCTTTCATTCTTGAAAGACGAACTCCCCCTTCCCAATGATTTTCCTAGTCCAGATCAGTCCGTATGGCAGAGCTCTAAGGGTGAGGTTATTCAGATACTAATTAATCACGTCCCTCTGCTGTTTGTATCTATCTGATCTGGTCAGAGTCTCCCAGTTTGTCTCATCTTCATCTTTCTTGGGCCTGAAAAATGTTTACTGAGAGAAGATTGCTCCCTTGCTCTGAATCTCTCTTGTGCTATCAGAATATTGTTAGATTTCTCCCCATGCATAACCCACTTATTCATTACTTTACCTTCAGCTATTGTTTCTCCTTCCATGTGTCATTTATTTTTACCCAAACTTTTGTACCTTGGGAAGAGTCATCAGGTTCAGATGTTGTGCCAGGCCACATTGCTTGTGGTAAGACTGGTCTAGCAAGTGCTTTCCCCTTAGTCCACTGCCTTTCCTGTTGGGTCGGCTTACATTAAGAACAAGACTAGTGAACTATCTTGACCTTTAGGTAATAAGGTACTAATCACTGTCAGTCCCAGTTTCTCCTGATGGGTGAAATGTACAATCCATCCCATCAGGTCCTTTGGAATTCTGGCGGACAGATTCAGGGTCATGGGTACTCTCAGATCACCGTGCTCTGGCACCAGCAGCTGCATTCCTGGCCTGGGGACTGGAAAACAGCAATTTCAGGTGATTAATAGATGAATTCAGGTCATGGATGGATTGAGTTCCATCAAAGGTGATGTGGCGAACAAACTCACCATGGCACCAGTGACCTCTGCATCTCCTCTTCCCCAGGTAACCAACGTTACAATCTTACAGTGTTGCTGATAAATGCCTACAGGACACACCGCTATCCGAAACCTCAGTCTGAAGGCACTTGGCTGTAACTGTGTGTCAGTAAACCTAGCCCCTCCTCCCTCAAATCAAGTGCCTTCAAGCAAGCCTACTGTCCAAAGTCACTCAGCAGTACTTGCTCCACGGGCTGGGAAGTCCACTGTTCTGTCTCATGCTCTGGCTTTGGATTCTACTGCTGCGGCTCCTCTGGCATCACCTCTTTCTGTCCCTGCATCCAGGAGGCTGGATGTGCAGGGAGCTTGGTGTCTGAAGGATGAGCTATACACCTGGCTTTTCTTTGATGGTCGTGAGACTCCCCCCTCCTGCTTTTGAGATGGCTCAGTTTATACTCATGCTAGAATTTGACGTTTTTACCATTAAAATTAACTCTCTTCTCCCACCTTCTCTCACCGTGACCCATCAGGAAAACACTCATTTGATGGGAGTTATAAAGTCTAAGACTAGAGTCGACATATTAATTAATTCACTAGACCATACTTTCCCATATAACCAGTTAAAACATATTTAACTATTCATCTTCTCTGGAAGAGTCATAGACACACTGGAAGGACATACATTTTATTCTATAGTAGATTTATCTCTTACTGAACAAAAAAATGAATGAAATGATGAAAAGAAGAAACAGGAGAAGTCTGCATTTGAGATGGGCTTTGAAGACAGGCAGGGCTGCACTGGATGAAACTTGAAGAAAGCAGTCAAGGGAGAAAGACTAGCATCAGATAAGATCCAAAGACATGTGGATTTCTTACGACTAAGACTGTAAATGGAAGAGTAGGTTCAATCATGGGATCATTCCTCTGCCTTGGTAAGATCTTGGTGATCAATTGTTAAGCAGGAGGGAGCTTTTGTCTTTGATCATGATAATGATGTGCTCAGGGCTGGAGAGGATGGACTCATGGTGGTGTGCAGAAGTGCAAGTTGTTGAAAATAAAGGTCTCAAAAGAGAAGGTGTGCGAAAATGAATTAGGATGGCAGTAGGACAGGAGGGATTGGTATGAGAAATTGTAAGGGTTGAAAAAAACTCCCTGAAAACAACAGACAGAGCATGGCTACCCCAGTGATGATGAGAACACGGAAAAGCTGGTAAGGGTAGAGGAGGGGTACCTTGGACGTCAAAAGAGAAGGTAGTGAGAAAACACTGAAATGGAGAGAGGTGGCTGTCCATTACACATGCTGCTGAGAAGTTGACACAGACAAGAACTCAGAAAGACAAGCACGAGCTGTGGTGCTGCGCATCACTGATGACCTTCCAAAGCACAGATTCAATTAGTAGTGTGGCTCCTGGTGTGGTGCTGTAGGATCAGGACTGGACTGCTAGACACAAGGTCAGCAGTTCAAACCCACCTCTTGCTCCTTGGAAACGCTATACATGGCCGCTACCAGTTGGAACCGAATCAACGGCACTTAAGAAAAACAAGAGCAGTGTGGACAGAAATTATTACAAGGATTTTAAAAATGAGTGGGTAGATAAACAAAAGAGGCAGTAAATGGCAAAAACTCATGAAGAAAATGCATTTAAAGACCTAATTCAAAAATAAACAAAAACACACTTTGGAATTCATGTCCCAGGAGTAGGAGGTATGCTGGAGAAGAGGGCATGAAAACTAACCCTTGGAGTAGCTCCGCCCGAGTACCCCTCTACACTTGCATAAGAAATTGTAAGATGCTGGGTCAACCATTCTGAAATCCTGTGCTTTTCGACTTTGGAATTTCCATTACTTCCATGAAGCAAGGGTGGATGCTACACATGAGGGCACAGGAAGGAATAAATCCCTCAGGTGACACAGAGGTAGACCCAGCCTGCCCAGTGCAGTGCAGAATGAGCAGTAGACAATTAACAGAGGTCCAACACACAAGCAAGTGGCAACAGAGATTTATTTAAACAATAGTAAGTCTATAGGAAATAGTACAACAAACCTAGTAAATGAAGTCTCTCAGAGTGTGTGATGAGACAGGGGTGGCGAAGCCTGCCATCACTTAGGATACTGTACGTATCTCCTCTTGAAGGGAGCGGCATTAGCTTCTGGCTCAGCATGAGTTCTTAACAGATTAGTAAGTGATCTCCTGCAAACCTAAGGGGAGGAAACCCACAAATACTGTTACAGAGACCCTCATTGTGCAGAGCAAAGAGAACTGACCGATGAGACATGTGACCGTGCTGTATGCCCATGGGGATTGGTTCTGGAGCACCCGTTACATATTGGATCACTGCTCTTCTAGACTCCTGCTTTGTAAAACGAGCTCTCATGTTTCCTTGTGAAATCTCATTATACAGAGCAGGAGTCTAGAATAACAACATAAAAATAAATTAAAGAGAAACTTTTGTGCTGGACTGCACAACTGAGTAAATTTTTAAACTAGCTGAATGATAAACCCATGAGGACTCATGTCAACCTGGCATTTTTACACAGAGCCTTGTCTCTGTCAAGTTCTTTGGCTTCTCTCAGGTACTTACATAAGGTCAGATGTCATTTGGATTACATCTGTAAGAAGCTTAAAGGGCGGCTACTAAATAGCATAGTGGTTATGAATTGGGCTGCGAACCTCAAGGTCAGCAGTTCGAAACTACCAGCTGTTCTGCTGGAGAAAGATGAGGCTTTCTGCTCCCGTAAAGATTTACAGCCTGGGAAACCCTGTACAGGGTCGCTATGAGTCGGACCCGACTCCACAGCACATAACCACCACCACCACCACTACATTATAGGAGTCCTGGTGTGGCGCGGTGTGTTAATGCACCAAACTGCAAAGTCATTTGAACTGCAAAGTCAGCAGTTCAAGCTCACCAGTTGCTCCTCAGAAACCCTAGACAGGGTCACTATGGGTTGGAACTGACTCAACGGCACTTAACAACAACTACACTATAGAACAGACCTGGGATCGAAAGTACTCATCTCTTGGCTAGGGAGACACCAACCAAAGGAAAACAGCTAAGGGAATCAAGGACAACATGGGCCAGTTGTAAAGGAGAAATTGCTTCATGACCAATGTAACAGGCAACACTAAGATGTGGATACAGGTTCTCACCCCATGCCCCAGTCTACCAAGCCCACTGTTATTGAGTTGATTCCGACTCATAGCAATGCATGTAGGGTTTCCAAGACTGTAAATAACTGCAGGAGCAGACACTTTCATCTTTTTTCCCATGAAATAGAGGGTGGATTTGAACTGCAAACCATGTGGTTAGCAACTCATTGTGTAACCTACAGAGCCAATTCAACCCACAGATGCCTGGGTTTGTTAGAGATGTTTGAACATTTACTAAACCTGATGATAGTTGATTAAAAAGATTATTTTAAACTCTCAAGATCTATTACCTTCCAAATGAGGAAACATCACAATAGAACTCTAAAGGTTTTTTTTGTTTGTTTGTATGTTTTTTTACACAGGGGATATCTAAATCATTCTTCTGGCTTTGTGCTACGAAAACCCAGATTTAACAGCTAATTCTCTGGATATGTTCATAGATAAATGCATTTAAAATACTAATTCAAAAATAAACAAAAACACACTTTGGAATTCATGTCCCGGGAGTAGGAGGTATTCAGCAGAAGAGGGCATGAAAGCTAACCCTTGGAGTAACTCGGCCCAGGCCCTCTACACTTGCATAAGAAATTGTAAGATGCTGGGTCAACCATTCTGAAATCCTGTGCTTTTCGACTTCGGAATTTCCATTACTTCCACGAAGCACGATCTTCCAGATCTTACTGAGTCTAATGTTTGAGTCTTACATACTTTGAAGAAGAAAAGTACCTCATTCGTAGGTCAAATCATAAAACTAGAATCACACACCTAGTTCATTTCCTCCTTTGGTTGCCCAACACAGGCAGTAATGCTGCATGAGTTGTTCAAGAAGTTCCACTTCATCCAGGAATTCCAGCGACTCTATCCTACGGACAGGGTTAGAATAGAACAGCGCTCATTTGTACACTGATGTGATTAATAATGAATCATGACATTCCATTCACGATATACTAAGTGCAAGGGAACAGGTGACAAAATATTATGGAGTGTTTCTGTTTTAAGTTATTTTTATTGAGAAGAAGAAAAACTACCATACACAAAGTCACAAGACAAATGATGAAGAAACAAGTACAACATGAATGGCAATGAGTTGGTTTTCTTGATCTATACAGAGCGATGAAATTCCAATAAGGAAAAAAAAACTATTTAAATTAATGATTAAAAGATAAGCAAAAGACCAGTTCACAAGGAAAGAACGTGTAAATTAAAATGTAAAAAGAAATGTAAATTAAAAATATAAGAAGTTTTCAACTGTCTGTGATTGATAAAGATCATCAGATTGATATAAATTTTAAAAAGAAACGGAAAAAGGTATCTCCTGTCTTACAAAATAGTACAATGTCTTTAGTAGGAAATTTGATCATCTCTACCATAGTTTAACATGTACACCCTCTGACTCAGCAATTCTGCTTTTAATTATTTATCCTGTATACGCGCCAAGATGTAACTTCACTGTGGTATCAATCAAGGCTGACTAAATTACAGCATATCCATAATAGGATGGCGTCCTGGACCAACAGGCTGGTTTGAAATGCAAGGTCAGCAGTTCAAATTCACCAAGTGCTCTTTGGCACCCTCTACAGGGTTGTTATTAGTTGGCACTGACTGGACGGCACTTGACAACAACAGGATAAAAACCAACAAACAACAAAAACATGCAATCATGAAAAATGTAGTAGGTTTACATGTACTGATGTGGAACAATCTCCAAGACATAGTATGGAATTTAAAAAGCAAGTTACATAGCATGTGATGTATACAATATTATACTTCTTTGTCACTATCAAGTGGGGGACACATAAGGTTTTGTATTAATAGGCTACTTTTGGAAGATACACACGAAACTTATACTATGGAAACACAGTGATTGCACAGAATAAGGGTAACACTGGATTGTGGACAACAAGGTCAGCGGGGTGAGACCACTGGCCACTCAACAGGTGAAAGATGAGGCTTCCTGCTCCTGTAAAGATTTACAGCCCTGGAAACTCTACACAGGGTTGCTATGAGTCAGAACTTACTTGATGGCATTTAACAATGACAAAAACTATAATATTAATCTACAGAGTACTGTAGTAACTGTGTAGAATAAGCACTGGACTGCTAACTGTAAGATCATAAGTCCAAATCCACCAGTCGCTCCCTGGAAACTATACAGGGTCGCTATGAGTCAGAACCAACTCAACAGCACTTAACAACAACAACATAGTACTTTGGAGTCCTGGTGTGGTGCTGTAGGATAAGCACTGGACAGCTAATCAAAGGTCCCACTAGCTTTTCCTGGGAAACCTTATACAGAGGGGCTGTAAGTTGGAATCAACTCAACAACACTTAACAACAACAACTATCTTATTCTGTTTGTTTTTAATCATGTGTTTGGATGACTTTTTTAAATTAAATGTCAACTTTTAAATATATGTGCACACAGAAAAACATGTACAAACACGAAAAACTTTTTAAGAAATCACTTAAATATATGCACATTGTGTGGGGCATTTTAGGCATTTCTATACAGTGTAGAGGGAAGTAGAAAATGATATCCATTTCCACAATTCACAACAGCCTCTGCAGATAGTCTGGCATTTCCATCTGTCCAGGCTGTGTGTGCTTGCATGTACACCTGTTTGGGTAACTATATGTATGCATATGCTTGTGTATGTTTTTAGATTTGTGCATTCATTTTTGTCCTGACAGACAGGGCACGGACTACAGCTGACTTGAGAATGACTATCCATAAAACACTAGGGTTGCTTTCCAACTATGCTATCTTGTTGAAAGATGTTCAAGACAGATTTCCTAATACCAAAGAACAAAACAGCAGTATTATTTGAAGGCTTCATGATGGTTATTACCTAGTTTAGTTGTTGTTGTTGTTAAGTGCTGTGGAGTTGGTTCCAACTCATAGCGACCGTGCCTAAGGTTTCCAAGGAGCAGCTGGAGGGTTTGAACAGCCGATCTTGTGTTTAGCAGTACTGATTGTGAAGTGGTTCCCCTACAGTGCCACACAAGTTTGGTTAGCAGTACTGGTTGTGAAGCTAGCATGTGCCTTCTACAAGGGCAGGCACATCTTTTACTTTGAAAAATACCTGGTACATAGTAGCAACTCAGTATTTGTTATATGAACACACTTGCCTTAGACTTCTTTTTATACTCCATGTTGTTGTTGTTATGTGCCGTGGAATCGGTTCCGACTCATAGGGACCCTGCATAGGGTTTCCAAGGCTGTTACGGGAGCAGAAAGCCTCATCTTTTTCCCATGGAACAGCTGGTAGTTTCGAACTGCTGACCCTGAGGTTAGCAGCCCGATTCGTAACCACTACAGTTTATATTCTTCTGTAAAAAGCCCTTGGCAAATGCAGATACCAACTACATGGGAATTAAGAGTTAGGTGGGCTTTTCAGCCGAGGGCAGACAAAAGAAAGCCAGTTCTATTTCATTTCCCACTCCTGTGAGGGTCACACGTTACTGTATACAGGAATCCCAGTACAACATGTCGGCATAGAAGTTTCTTTTCTTATTCTTATGTAAATTACAGGCCTTGATATCTAGAAGAGTGGCTACACCGTTTTCAATAGAGACAGCACTATGGTGATTCAAAACCATCATCTTGATTTATAGCAAATGAAAACCAGCCTGTGGGAAAGGACATTTCTAGAAGAATCCAGAAAAGTGTTGACCTGATCACAAGGAAACAATATTTTCTCAAATCTTTATGGGGCAACAATTTAAAAAATTCTTCTCATTAGCTTGAAAGAGACAAAACACAACATATTGAGGTCCCCAAAGGAAAGCGGAATGCACAAAACCATTGACTGTGATGGTACGCTAGCGCTGGTCCCAGATACATACATACTGCTGAGAGCCTTCCAGGTTTTTGGTTTTTTTACAACCGGGAAATTAAAATAACACAAAACAAAAATTTAAAACAACAATAAAACTATAATTAACTACCCAGCTTTTAGGGTATTATTTCAATCATTTTTTCTATACATTAAAACTTTTTTTTATTATTTTTTGTCACTGAAAATATACAAAGCAGAACATACACCAATTCCATCATTTCTACATGTACAATTAATTCAGTAACACTGATTACAGATTCCACATTACGCAACCATTCTCACCCTCCTTTTCCAAATGTTGCCTCGCTCATGAACATAAACGCGTTGGCCCCTAAGTGTACTGTGTAATATTGTGAGTTGCTATTGTCAGTTTGATCCCAAATGTGATTCTTCATTACCTTAAATTGAAACTCAGTGCTCTACAAGCAATGACTCCTCCGTTACCCCTCGCTTTTGTCTCTGGAGTCCTGGTGTGGTGTGGCAGGATAATGCACTGGACCTCAAGGTCAGCTGAACTGCAAGGTTGGTGGTTCAAAACTACCAGCTGCTCCTTGGAAACCCTAGACAGGGTCATTATGAGTCAGAACTGACTTGATGGCACTTAACAACAACAACAATCACTAATTAACTTCAATTTCTATGTATTTGCCTATGCTTATCTTTTTATATAAATGAGGTCATATAATCCTTTTGTGATAAGCTGATTAATTTCAGTTTGCCTAATGTCTTCAAGCTCTATCTGACTAATAGCATGCATCATGACTTTACTTCTCTTACTGGCCAGGGATGTATGTGTGTACCACATTGTGTTTCTCCATTATCTGTTAATGGGCATTTACGGTGTTACTACCTTTTTGTTACTGTGAAGAGTGCTACAATAAACACTGGTGTACAAGTCTCCCTTAGAATCTCTGCTTACAAATTCTGTGTGCATATATACCTAGGCGTGGAACTGCTGGGTCATATGGCAGTCCTGTATTTAGTTTTCTGAGGAAATGCCACCTGTTTTCTACAATGGTTATACCATTTTACATTCCCACCAGCAATGGGTGGTGGTGGTTGCGTGTCTGAGCCAGTTCCAACTCACAGTGACCCTATAGAGTTTCTGAGGCTATGAATCTTTATGGGAACAGAAAGCCTAATCTTTTTCCTGAGGAGCAGGTAGTAGATTCAAACTGCTGCCCTTGTGTTTAGCAGCTCAATTCACTATGCTACCAGAGCTTCTCCAGCAATGGGCAAGGGTTTCAATTTCCTTAGACTCTTGCCAACATTAGTTCTTTGTTTTCATTTAAAACCTTGGCGATCCTCGTTGTTATGGGTCACCCAGTTGATCTGACTCAAGGAGCCCCTATGTACAAACGAAGGAAACACTGCCCGGTTTTGCAGCACCCTCACAATTGTTTGTCAACACTTTGAGCCCACTGTGGTTGTCACTATGTTAATCCATCTCTTTGGCGGTTTTCCTTTTTGTACTTTTGACATAGTTAGGAGGAACCAGTCTTTAGAGAAGGCCACCCAGAAACCAAGGTTGTTTCATTGGCATGGTTGTGAATGAGTCATCCTCCAATCTTGATGACACATTTTTCTCCATATAATCGGACTTCTTGGATTATCTGCTCAGCATACAGATTGAATAAATAGGGTGAAAGGATACAATCCTGGCACAAGCTTGTGATTTTAAACCATTTAGTACACCTGTACTATGTTCAAACAAGTGCCTCTTCGTCTTCGCATAGGTTCTTCACAAAAACAAGCAAGCATTCTGTAATACCCATTCTTTCCAACGTTATTCATCCTTTGTTACAATCCACACAGTCAAATAAATGGCTTTGCACAATCAGTAAAGTAAACGTCTGTCTGGTAATCTTTGCTTCCAGCCAAGATTCGTATGATATCAGCAATGATATCCCTCATTCCATATCCTTTTCTGAATCTAGCTTGAATTTCTGAAAGCTCACAGACGATGTACTGCTGCAACCTGTTTTGAATTAACTTCAGCAAAATTTTACTTGTATGTAATATTA